CAAGGTCCTAAATCCCACTAGAAGATAAAAGAATGCAGATGTAATATATACAGACTTTGCAAAAGCCTTCGGACAAGTGTGACCAGGGGCGTAATAGCGCACAAAATGCGTGCTTAAGGGAATAACAGGAAAAGTCGTCGATGGATCTTAATTTCCTCACTAACAGAACACAAAGAGTAGTCGTCAACAGAGTAAAGTCCGAGGGAGCTACGGTTTAAAAGCTCTGTTCCACAAGCACAGTACTCGCTCCCATCTTGTTCCTCATCCTCATATCCGACATAGACAAAAGGGTGTCAGCCACAGCACCGTGTCTTCCTTTGCAGATACACCCGAATCTGCAATGACAGTGTCTTTTCCCTTGCAGACACTGCAAGGCTCCCGGCGGGACATCAACCAAATCTTTCAGTGGGCTGCAGAAAACAATATGAAGTTCAACGATGAGAAATTTTTAATTACTCAGATATGGTAAACACGAGAAATTAAAACTTCATCAGAGTACAAACAAATTCTGGCCACAAAAAAAGAGCGAAACACCAACGTCAAAAGACTGGGAGTGATCAAGTCGGAGGATCTCACCTTCCCAAAGGGCCATAACATTGAAACAAACGCATCTGCTAGAAAAATGACAGGATGGATAATGAGAACCTTCAAAAAATAGGGAGGCCAAGCCATGATGACACTCTTCAGGTCACTTGTTCTATCTAGGCTGGAATATTGCTGCACACTAACAGCATCTTTCAAGGCAGGTGAAATTGCTGACCTAGAAAATGTACAGAGAACCTTCACGCGGCGCGATAACGGGAGATAAAACACCTCAATTACTGGGAGCATTGAGGTTCCTGAACTGTATTCCCGGGAAAACGCAGGCGGGAGAGATACATGTTTATATACACCTGGAAAATCCTAGAGGGACTAGTACCGAACTTGCACACGAAAATCACTCACTACGAAAGCAAAAGACTTGGCAGACGATGCAACATTCCCCCCAATGAAAAGCATGGGTGTCACAAAGCACGTTAAGAGACCATACAATAAGTGTCAGGGGCCCGAGACTGTTCAACTGCCTCCCAGCATACATAAGGGGGATTACCAACAGACCCCTGGCAGTCTTCAAGCTGGCACTGGACAAGCACCTAAAGTCGGTTCCTGACCAGTACGTTGGTTTGCGTGCAGCCAGCAGCAACAGCCTGGTTGATCAGGCTCTGATCCCCAGGAGGCCTGGTCACAGACCGGGCCGCGGGGGCGTTGACCCCCGGAACTCTCTCCAGGTAAACTCCAGGTAACTCATAGGCAGAATGAAAAAAAATATAAACGCGAGTCTTATGTGGTAGGCGCAGAGTATTCAACCCTTTTCTCATTGTAATCATCACACCAGTTAGAAAAGTAACAAGAGCAGACACGGTATCCAGGTCACTTGTAACATTGTTACATAAACATTTGGAACAAAACTATATATATATATATATAATATATATATAATATATATATATATAATTATATATATATATATATATATTATATATATATAATATATATATATAATGTTTGTTCAACATTTTAAAAATCAATAGGACCATGGCTAGTATACATGTTATTAACAACACCAACAAACTAAAACATAGATTAATATTGCATTCATCTCCGTCGTGGCGTTGTGGCTGTTTACTGATCACTGGTCTGCCATTAATTGCATAAATTAATGTCCATTGAAGCCTCCAATGCGCTGCTGTACAAAAAGAAATTAACCAAACGTTCCTGGTTAATTTTGGGGCTCTTCAACCTTCTTCTGCATGACTGATGTCCATTGAAATGGGATTATACTTTTCTTCTTCAGATTGAAGGTGAATGACTCTCGGTGCCCAGGAACTGTATGACCTCTTTCCTCTTACGGGTTAAGCGCTTCCTTCTGATTAAGATAGCTGTAGTACTGTTAGTGAGGTGTCCAGGAGCTGGAGTTTCGAGTATTTTGTCACAGACAACTTATATAGATTTTTAAATGTGAACCTTGAGCCTGCCGAAGTTCCTGCCACTCTGAACCCTGAGCCTACCAGGGTCCCTACCACCCTGAACCCTGAACCTACCAGGGTCCCTACCACCCTGATCCCTGAACCTACCAGGGTTCCTACCACCCTGATCCCTGAACCTACCAGGGTTCCTACCACTGATCCCTGAGCCTACCAGGGTCCCTACCACCCTGATCCCTGAACCTACCAAGGTTCCTACCACTGAACCATGAGGCTACCAGGGTCCCTACCACCCTGATCCCTGAACCTACCAGGGTTCCTACCACTGATCCCTGAGCCTACCAGGGTCCCTACCACCCTGATCCCTGAACCTACCAGGGTTCCTACCACTGAACCATGAGCCTACCAGGGTCCATACCACCCTGATCCCTGAACCTACCAGGGTTCCTACCACTGAACCATGAGCCTACCAGGGTCCCTACCACCCTGATCCCTGAACCTACCAGGGTTCCTACCACTGAACCATGAGCCTACCAGGGTTCCTACTATTCTGAACCCTGAGCCTACCAGGGTTCCTACCACTGATCCCTGAGCCTATCAGGGTTCCTCCCACCCTGAACCTACCAGGGTTCCTATCACCCTGAGCCCTGAACCTACCAGAGTTCCTACCACGGAACCTTGAGCCTACCAGGGTTCCTACCACTGAACCCTGAACCTACCAATAGGGGGTAGATGGTTTGGTGCTGGTAAAGGCTCTTGATCCCAGGAATAATAATAATAACAATAATAATTATTATTATTATCATTATTGCGGCACATCCTCTGAAGGTACTGAGGGCCGGGTGCAGCTCAATCGTTATTTAAGCATAACACAAGACTTTTTTCCCTCGTGTATTACGCTAGACAATGGTTAGACGTCAGTAAAGGACTTCTGATCAACGAACAATACTGCGGCAGAGTGAGACTCGAACCGGAGACATTTAGGCTAGGTAGGAAGCCAGGTAAACTATCGACGCTCTAGGCCACTGCACCACCATAGTTGACAACGTTAGATGTTTGGCGAGAATACCGGACTTGTGTTTCTCTAACACCAGCCACTCCAGGAGGCGGGGTCAGGAGCAGTGGAGGCTAGTGCTTGTGGAGGCTAGTACACCAAACGCGGATTAGAATGAAATTAGCTCAGAGGCATCCACACCACCGTATGTCCTTGGATCAAGGTAAAACACCCAGCTCTGCTGGATGCTTCATTCTTGTAGGATTGTGTGGTCCTGTGGATTAGAGCGTCATCTGATTTTCGCTCACCACGAGGCGGGCCAAAATCACTTGGGTTCGACTCCTCGGCTAGTCGCAGTGTTATTGATATATATATATATAATATATATATATATATATCTATATATAATATATATATATAATATATATATATATATATAATATATATCCACAGCTATATGTCACTATCACTACTTCCCTGACATTTCTCAACTTCCGGGGCTCTTTAAATCCAAATGTATTTTCTCTAAGTTTATTTCCTAACGTTTACGATAAGTCTACAGCGGAAATTATTCACAAATAACACGCACACCGGAGAACGGAACTCATGACGGTGTTTCGGTCCGACTCAAAACGTCGTTATGGGGGTTATTTGTGTATTGTTCCAGTCACGGTATTGTGACTCTTCCTTCTTCTAACTACAGTGAAAATAAATGGTAATGTTAGACGTGATTATTTTTATCCTAGACGAGTCTAAGAGCCAGGGTAAACACTTAACACTACGGTTGTTACAGACATTTGTAGAGCATCCTGAAAAAAAATTGTTGGGTGTCGGCTCCCTAGAGGTGCTGGATACTCTATGACTAGTCTTACATGTATAATATATAATCTGACGTATATGTATAGTTTGTCGTATGTATAATCTGTCGGATATGTATAATATGACGTTTGTTAGGTATAATATATGTCATGTATAGTCTGACGTATATCATGTATAGTCTGACTTATGTCATGCATGGTCTGACTTATGTCATGTATAGTCTGACGTTTATTATGTATAAATTCGCTTCATTGATCGTTTGGTTGAATGTTGATCATCTTAATTGGTCGTGTAGTTCTTGGTTGGTCATTTTCATTGATCGTTTGGCTGTGAATAAAACAAAAACGTTGCAGAGCAAGTTCATTGCTGGTACGACGTTTCGCTTAGGGAATTGGAGCAGAAATCCAATTCCCAATTCAAGAGCCTCTCACCAGCATCAAGGAACCTCCCTTGAAGGTAGGAGAGGCCAGAAAGGCAGGCAGGTAGTGTCGTCACCTCGCTGACAGTGGAACTTGTAAGCAAATGTCACATCGAAAGTCCTCAGATTATACACCTGTGACAAAAGTAATTAGAGGTGAAAATAAGAGAGAAGTTGCAGTGGGTCTCTAACAGTCTCCTCCGGGAGGGTCAAGAGGATGTGTGTGGGGGAGGGGAGGTATATTCTACGACCCAATGGTCATAGAATATATGTCAGGCTTGGATATTAGTGACGTAAGTGTTCAGTACTAAACACTTGTTTCCTGATGGGTTATCCTCCGCAGGTGTCTTGCACCTCACTCTATTACCTACATATTCCCTCTGTGTCCTTGTTTGTAACGGCTTGACAAAGCTCCTCGAGAGTGAAACGTTGCTACAATAAAAATGTCACTTTAGTTGCACTTGCTTCATTTTACCTAAGCTTGAGGTTGTTGTTGTTGTTGTTGTCTCAACACCGGACACGAGCCCTGACGACAACCAGTGTTATAATCAGAGAGGATCAGCGCCCAACCAGCGGACACACACACACTCAGTTACCAGACGTCACTCAGAGCACTAACATTCATACTCTCCACCACACTCAACAGTTACACGGAACAAAAAGCAGACGAAATTAAAAGTGAAAGGATTCTTGGTTGTCGTCTTCGACACGAGCATAATCCAGGACGATAATAATTTGCAGAAGTTAAGAGAACGGAAATATCAAGTTTAAATCATAGATATTAGTGAGAATTTCCCAAAAAATTTTAAATGTGTATTTTCAGAGAGTTGGTCAGCATAGGCTGAGATTTTTTTTGCCACTGAAGTGGATAGTTTACTGTCCTGTGGACGGTGGCGCAAGAGCATACTGATACAGAAGGCCTAGAAACTAGGCCTCTAGAAAGGGTTGCTAGGCGTAGTATATCTGAGTATACTCACAAATTAATGTTGTATCAGTGTCAGGCAGGTTTAGGAGAGAACAAAGTTATGAAGGTAATACTGTAAGAGAAGACAGGTGACGCCCGGCATAGAACAGGCTGAGGACGTGACAGGTGAAGATCGCGCTACAGCACGCTGAGGACGTGACAGGTAACACCCGCATTGCAGCACGCTAAGGACGTGACAGGTGACACCTGCACTACGACACGTTATAGGAAGATGGAGAAAAAACATTTACTATTCACTGTCCTCTCCTTTGTGGCTGTGAACACACTAAAATCCGCACAAGGTAACAACTACAGTATTAATAATAACAATAATAATTACATTAGTATACACACTAAGAAGTGTATATCTCTCAGGGTGTAAATCACTAGCATTTAAGTCAGTCTCTAAGACTGATAGCACACAGGTGATATAC